TTAATTTTTTTATGCTTTTTAAATTTGCAGGTAGCTTGAAGCTGGGAGGTATAGCTTCCACATCGGATGACAGAGTCAGGATACCTAAAAGATCCTGGAATATGGGGGCCAAGAGTCATAAACCGAAATTTCATAGTCATGAGTGTAAAGTCGTATACCTTAGGCTCAAGGTGACAACTCTGAATTTATGATCCTATGTGTTTGGGCTACAGTTCACCTAATGAAGAACTGGATGTTTTAGTGAAGTAGAAAACTGAATATGAGTCAGCGTTACGGCATGGCAGACTTTTAGCTAATGGAATCTTAAATTGCATTGAGAGGCACAATGTCCTTAACTAGGAAAGTGAGAGTCCCACTTTACTCTGTCCTAATTAGACCAAATCTGGAGTATTATATCCAGTTCCAGATGCTACATTTTAGGAAGGACATTGATACTTGAAGAGTGTCCCAGGGAAGACAACAAGATGGTGAAGAGTCTTGATATCATGCCAAATGAGGATCTGTTGAAGACGTTGCGTTGGTAGAAGAGAAGATTAAGGGGATGTGTTAATTATCTTCATGTATTTGAAAGATTGTCATATGGAGGAGGAACTAGACTTATTCTGTTTAGCCTCAGGGAGTAGAACTGAGAACTATGGGGAGAAGTTGCAAGAAGTCAGATTTAAGCATGATGTAGTGATGTAACTATCCAAATAATGGTTGTAATAAATTTAAGTTTGATGTAATGATTATACTATCCAAATAATCCTAATAATTAGACTATCTAAAACAGAATAAGCTGCCTAAGAAGATAGATGGGAGGTTGGATGAGTTATGGAGTATTACTGTAGTTAACTGTTCATAGGATATTCTGTAGAAGAGATGCTAGTGCAGGTGTGGATGGGAGGGACTGAGACTTTTTCTAACTCTTGAAAATCTATGATTTTGCCTGGCAAATAGTCGGAGCTTATTAAATGCTCATTGGCTCCCTGAATGATGAACACATCTCCTTGGCATTATCTAGTTGGACTTAATTGACTTAATTATAATCACTAGGGTTAGTGTTGTAGTGCACAGGGCTTCTCTGTTCATTGAAGGGAGTTTCCTCCACTACTTAATGCTGTAGTATAAATAAAAGATGTGAGGACCTTCATTGTTATGCCCTTCTTTCTGCCATCTTGACCAGATGGTCAGATGTAACGTTTTGTGATTTCACATAGTCTCCTTGTGGCTGGTCTGTGTTACAGTGGATTTTTTAAAATAAAATTTTAATTTATTATTATTTTTTGAGACTAGGTTTTCCTGTCTCACCGAGACTGGAAGGTCAAGAACTACTTATGGGCCTGACCCCTTTACTATGGTCATAGGAGTTTTGATCTGTTCCATTTCCAACCCTAGCTGATTTGCCCCTTCTAAGGCAACCTGATAGTCTCCCTCCCCACTCCCAGGGGCTCACCATATTGATGCCAAACCTAGCACAAATACCAGATAAGCATAGCTCGGAACTCTAGAGCTCAAGATCTACCAGCCTCAGCCTCCCTGGTGCCACCATACCCAGTGTATCATGACAGATTAAATAAGACAACCAATGAGCCAGTGAGCATGTAAGCAAAGGCTTCCACCCAGAAAACCAGGTAGCAGGGCAAGTGTTTTTACCCTGACGTTTACTAGTCTGAGGGTCTAATGTAGCATCCTGGAAACCTAGAGAATAGATCAGAGGTCCCTAGATCACAGAATGCTACAACTGGAAGACAAGCACCTTAAAGATCATCTATCGAATCAATACCACTCATTTTACCAATGAGGAAATTGACAGCTAGAGCGATGCTATAATGACATGCCAGCAGACACAGATAGTTGGTAGAAGGATTGAGCCTAGAACTCAGGTGTCCTTATTCCCTTACTGTTCAGCGTCCTTTCTATTATACCATGGGCTAGGAGAGGCTTCTGACAATAGTTGCATTTCACAGGGCTTCAGCTAACTTTTAAATTAGAGCAACTTAAGTCTACCTGCTCAGCTCCACCAGCCCTACTTAGTCCCTCTGGATTTAAAAAACTTCTAATAATCCCTAAAAAAAAAAAGATTTCTTCATTGTCAGTCTCTGTGTGGCAGAGGCATCTTCTAGAAATGGATAATTACTGTTTTTCAGTCATATCTGACTCTTCATGACCCCATTTGGGGTTTTCTTGGCAAAGATATTGGAGTGGTTTGCCATTTTCTTCTCCAGCTTGCTTTACAGATGAGAAAACTGAGGCAAACAGGGTTAAATTTGCCCAGGGTCACACAGCTAGTAAGTATATGTACACACACACCCCCCCCCCCGAGAAACACTAGCTAGATTGTAATCTCCTTGAGTGCAGGACTGCTTTATGCCTTTCCTTGTATCCCCAGCACCTGACCCATGGTAGGTACATAATAATGCTTAATGACTTACTGCTTCTTTCCAATTTTAGTGTCAAGACAACTTATAGGAATCAGAAATTCAGGAAAAGTAGGGAAGAAAAGTGAAGCCTGATGATCACAGTGCTACTGGAGTTGGTGGCATCTCTGGGCACTGTGCCAATGGGGGACAGAGATGAGGCAGGAGGACACACAGTTGCACCACGTGCTGGCTAGACACCTGAGTTCTAGACCCAATCCTTCTACCAACTATCTGTGTCTCCTGGCATGTCATTATAGCATCGCTCTAGCTGTCAATTTCCTCATTGGTAAAATGAGTGGGATTGATTGGATAGATGATCTTTAAGGTGCCCGTCTTCCAGTGGCCGTGCCACTCGCCTCAGCTTGCTAGAGAGAATAACAGCCACAGATGAACTGGGGAAAAAAATTAACTCAGGAAAATGAATTAATTTCTTTTTCTCCTCCAAAAGACTTGGACTGATAACAAATGCTCAGCTCCAGTGGTTTTATTAAGACTCAGGAAGAAAAATCACACAGCCTTGCTATGAAAACTTGAGAGCAAAACCATACTTCCAATTCCAAAAAAACCCCAGCAAACAAACAAAACCAAGCCCTGGCTACTGGTCTTAGCAGCACCATTTAGCTCTGGAAACTTTAGGGCCCAATTTGACTCTAGCATTTCCAGGCATTCTCATGTAGCCAGTCCAACAAAACACACTTGGTTCACTTCTTTCAACAATGCACGAAATAATGTAGATCTCAGAGGTCAAATTGAATTGGACAAGAGTCTACACATAAAAACTAAATACCAAATAGTATTTTTTTTTCAACTCTTAGACTATTTTTCAAGAAGACAATTGCCTTTGTTCACCAGGAAAACAAGTTCCCCTCCTTTTCATGGTGGTTTCACATGAAAAGAGGACACAATTAACATGGTGGGATGGGGTGAGGGTGGTGTTTATTTTGAAGATGTTCTGAACTCCTGATATGAGTCAGTTGGGTCCAGTGCAAGGAGTTACAGGGTTGAGATCATATCTCGGGAGAGCAGTGCTGGAAAGATTTGTTCAGGACATTGTTTCTTAGAAGCTTTGCCTGTGGAAGTGAGCCATTTCATCATGGACAAAAGGTCAAAAACTGCCCCTGAAATACCGTCCCTCCTGCCCTGTATTACCCAGTGTGCCAAGGACTAAACACAAAGGAGAGTGACTATAAAGGCAGAGTCTGAGGGCAGAGGTTAGGGTCCTAAGAGCTCTGGGAATAGACCTTTGGAATTACATTTTCCTTGAATTTAGGGTCTCCTCTGCAGATGAGTGATATTTGGCCTCTTGTGACTCAGTGGAATGACTGTTGGATATTTGAGACTTGAGTTTGTATTCTGTTTCAGATAATTATGTGACCCTCGGGAAGTCATTTGAAATCTTCCAGAGCGTCCCACTCCTCATCCATAAAATAGGGATAAGGATGTTTCCTAAGAGAGTATGTAGAGTAGATTCTATAGAAATGTGGATTGCTGTTTTTGTTGTATTGTATTTGTTTTTATTGTATTGTATTTGTCCCAAGACAAATGTATTTTGTTCATCAGGAAAATGACTTTCCCTCCTTTTTACAGTGGCTTCACATGAAAAGAGAATACAAATAACATAGTGAGGTGGGGGATGAGGGTTTATTTTGAAGATATTCTGAACATCTGATATGAGCCAGGTGGGAGGCAATCTCTGATGGAACTTTTCACAAGTGACAAAAGAAAGGATTTCACAAGAAATCTAAGTTATTTGATTAGAACAATTTATTATAACTATGGCACCGTAGCTGAAGTTTTAGAATAAATTTTTATGCATTTAGTCTTTATTTTATGCATTTTGTCTTCATTTTTATACAATTTCATCTTTTGAAACTGGAATAGGAAATTACATTTTAAAGTACTTAATTATAACCTCATCTCTCATTGAGGCAGCTAGCAGATAGATCTTCAGACTTGGAATCAGGAGTACCTAAGTTCAAATCCAGTCTCAGACACTTACTAGCCTTGCGAACTCAGGCAAGTCCTTTAACGTCTGTCTGCCTCAGTTTCTTCAAATGTAGCATGGGGATAATAACAGCACCAAATCAAAGGGTAATTCTGAGCATCAAATGAGATATATTTAATGTGCTATTATATAAATATATATTCTCTATCTTATATATATATAATATAATATATAAATGTATAATATAAATGTTAATTATTAAAGCATTTGTTGAAATGGAAGAACTTAATACTCAACATTTAAATGTTCAAATTCTTTTCATCAATAAAATAACTTGGATACAACTCAGTCCTGTGGTTCTAATTAAAGTCTGCCTGTGAACTTCTGTGATCTAAGGACAAAAGCCCAGGATCAACCCTTAGAATTAAAAGCAGAGATGAAAGAATGACAAACGATGGGAACGTTTATACAGTCCTGTTGGAACATTACCAAGTAAAATGATTTTGCCAGCTACTTCCAATGCTTACATAGCACTTTTTGCATTAAATGAAATAAACACATAAAGAGGGATGTCAGAAGCTCACAAAAGACTGCTCCGATTGGTTTTTGTCATGGTCTCTACACTGATTCTCCCCGCTTTCTTGTTCTTGCAGGTTGGATTTACGACATCACTCAAAAATATGATTTTTCCTTCTATATATGCGGCTTGCTTTACATGGTGGGAATGCTCTTTTTACTCATCCAGCCTTGTATCCGACTAAAGGAACAGCCAAGAAAAAAATACATAGAAGGCACGCATGTTTAGTGCCGCTTGAAATGGAGCTCTCGGCACCCCGTAGCTGGCCAAAAGAACAAAGGTATCTCATTTGGGATACTCCTCCGGCGGGCGCTGTTCTGACTGCCAGCTGGGTTTATGCAGATGACATGATACATCAAAAGGGCGCTATTCAAGAATTTCCAGAAACATTCTCATAAAAGCAAATACCTTGTGGCACATAGGGCCCTCAGAGCTCACTTGTTTAAAAAAGAGAGAAAAAGAAAGTTTAAAAAAAACCACTTCATTACAATCACTTCCTTTGTGAGCTGGGAAAAAAAAAAGGAAGAAAAATTTATCAGACTACTTACCATAAGCAGGCTGATAAATTGGTTTGTAAGCACAAGACTGCGGCTACATTTCTGAACCAACTCCTACCTGTAGAGCATTGCTAATGTATCAGTGTAAAATAAAACTGGCATATGCTTAAGATTCAAGTAGTTTTATACAACTTAAAAATGTTTCTATAATAAAGAAATGAATGCAATTTATATTTTTCTCATGAAATTCTGAAGATTATAATATTATCACTCACAAAAATGATCTTGATACATTTTCAGTAGTCATAGGCAACTAGTGAACCAAGGGCTATTGCATTTAGGCACTTTGATTCTGATAATGCCTGTCTCTGATTTAAGGGCAAAACTTTGGGTCAATAAAAACTGGGAGTGGGGGGGAGAGTGTGTGGGGCAGCCAGTGTCATGGTTTCCTTGTACATAAAATGTAGAATCCCTTATGACCGTCCCAAAAGGACTGCTGTGAAGATAAACTGTTAAGTCTTTGAAAAACTCCTTGTCAACACAGTATGGCAAAAATACTGACATGCAGTGATAAACTGATAAGTTATACATGTGTGCCCCTTTAAAACGGGCTAGCTCTTCATTCTGGTGATTCCCATTACCAAGCAGATAATCCATTTACTTGTATTCCCAACAGTTCTGTAAGTAGTTCTGTCGACAGGCTTCTGAACAAAGGAGCTGCTGTATATGACATTGGATTAGGCTCTTCCTGAATCATCAGACTGTAAAGCTACAAGGTACCTTGCCAGCCATCCAGCCCAGAAGCTTTAAACTGCCTTCTGTGAATCCCTGGTGTTGGTTGCACACAATATAAATAGAGGTACCATGGTAAATCTTGAATGCTGGTGATATTTTTCCCTTTAAAATACTCAATATGATACCATGTTTGTGTCCAAAATACTTACTATGTATGGCATTTGGGGTGTGAGAGGGTATGAAAATGGGATTAATTTCCTTTTTTGTCCTAAAATTTCCCTAAGCCCCTTTTATCCTAGAGCAGATTCCCCACCCCTATCCTGGAGATGATCTAAATGGCAACTGAGTTTTAAGATGAAGGCCAAAACACTAGACTATTAAGAGAAAATAAGTCCAAACTCAGATCCGCTCATTTGCCAATAGTTATATGTTTGGAAAAGACAGTTCCATCTCCTGCTTTTGGATGGTCTTTTATGGGTTCTGTCAATACATTTCAAGGCAAGTGTTCCATGATCAAAATTGTTTGGCAAACACTCATCTAATTCAACCCTCTTATTTGATAAGTGAGGAAACTGAAGTCCAGAGAGCATAGATAGATAGGTGACTTAATCAAAGCCACAAACCTAATTAAGAGCAAAACTGGGACTAGATGTGAGATATCCTGACTTCCACTCCACTGCCTGTTGTCCTATATACCACACTGCCCTCAAAAACCAATTTTTTTATAAGTCAAATCTTTGTCGGATTGCAGAATGCTCCAAAAAACATTTTGGAAATTTCTGGCTGCCTTAATTGTTTATGTATAGCTTAGAACTGTATAATATTTCTACTAAAATGTTTCCCATTACATAATTATTTCAGTTCCTCAAGGCCTGAGAACAGAGTGAAATGTGTCTAAGGTACCTAAATCTTGCTCATTCATGGTAATATAATACAGAAATAGCTTCGAGAATATATATACATATATGTGTGTATACACACATATAAATATATATTTATATGTGTATATATGTATATGCATATATATTTATGTGTGTATATGTATATATACATGTGTGTGTGTGTATCTCTGTGTGTGTATATTTAAATAACCAAACCTAATTTTAGCCAATAGCTTCAGTCTTCTCTTCTACCAAACCTTTCACTAGAACTGTTAACAGGTAATAAAGTGGACTTACTTCTCTCATTTCCATTTTTTCTTGCCCCTTTCTCTGGTAGAAAGGGTTGAACAGTGAAATGAACAGGAGAGAGACAAGTCAACAAAAAAGAGAAACCAAGGCACTTCACCTGCTAATAATCAAAAGTTGCCCAATCTATAGAAAATAGATTGCATGTCATGCTCTATTCAGTTCAATGCTTGTTATAGTTACGAGTTTTGTCACTGTTAAAAGCAAAGCGACTTAAATTTTAGAGCCTCTTCTGTATAGTTAATATAGAGTTAGGAATATAACCAATAGCATGGAAAAACTACTGTAATCATTTTAGGATATTACTTAAATTTTCTGGTGAAACCAAATAAATAAGGGATAATATTGCTGACTGTATCACTGGTGCTACAGTTAATGCATTCTGATGCGTCTATCATTGGCTTTGTATCACACAGAGGAAGTATAAAGTATACAAATTTTTTTCCCTAACTGCCTGTGCTTCATCTGCTTTGAAGGTCAGGTTGTTCAGGTCCAATGTGTTATAGTTGTTCGTTGAGTAAACACCTGTATGGGAATAATCATTTCTATCAAATTGTTAGAATTTTTGCTTCATAAAAAAATGGAATTTGCTGACAGTATTGATTTTTTAAATATATATTCACATGTATATGATTTAATCAGAATGCCATAAAAATTGAGTAGAGCATACACATATGATGCTTTCTGCTGAATACATTCTATGAGTTCACGTGCTCAAAAGACTGCTGTTGGGGGTCGGGGGCTTGCCATATATTTTTATCATTTGTTTTATAATTTGTCTCTGATTTTTTTTTAGATATGACTATGAAATAAAATTTGTCTTAAGAGAATTCTGTTCATTGTGTCTTTGTATAATTGTAGGGAGCTGAGAGCTATAAATCTCTACAATCTACCCAACCAGGCGGTCTATAAGAGCCACCAGAATGCTCTGGGCAAAAACTCCTTTGCTGTCTGTTCTCCAAAGTGCTGGCTTGAGGTTCCCAGCCCAAGCCAGCTATCTGACTTGGGGTTAGAGAATTCGTTTTAACTCCTGATCATCAGTCTGTATGCCCCAAAACCATTTTATGGACTCTATCCAACAAAGTTTCACAGGAATTTTATGGATGGAGCCTTCCTTTAGCTTCCATGATGCTCCTTGATTGGCACGCAGATAAATCTAAGGACAAGATTATAAAGGCTAGCTAAAGCCAGCAGGACCATTGTCTTCTGCTCCAATTCAACAATCCTGCCTTTCTCGTGCCAATATTTCAGCAACAAAGTCACTTTTGTTGTTGTTGCTGTTGCTATATTTTGGACAGCACAAACTTCATTGATCTACCTATGTAAAGTTATCCAAATGTTTAGAATTAATGAAAAAGAAGATACACAGCCAAGTAAGTAGAGAGCTGTCCAGAAAGACCTAGGTTCAACTGACATATACTAACTAGGCAAGCCATTTAACTCTCAATCCTCTAGATAGCTATCTAAAACTTTATGTTCCTCAGATGAAGCTGCCTTGCCTTAATAGAGAGAGCTCCCTATACCAGGCCTTCTCAAGGTGTGGTCCAAGTATCCATGGGGGTGCCCCTGGATCTTTTCAATGGTCCATGAGAACAAAACCATTTTCATAATAATACCAAGACTTTAGATTTCTAATATGGTAAATATTGATAAATTTTGTTCATTTGTTTCAGTCATATCCAATCCTTCATGACCTCTAAATAATCTAACTTAAAGAATATGTGGGTCAAAGAACAAATCATAGAAACAATCAATAATTTAATTAAAGAGAACGACAGTGAGACAATATACCAAAATTCATGGGATGCAGCCAAAGCAGTACTTAGGGGAAAATTTATTTCTCTAACTTCTTACATCAACAAAATGGAAAAAGAACAGATCAATGAATTTAGGCATACAACTAGAAAAACCTAGAAAATGAACAAATTAAAAATCTCCAATTGAGCACCAAATTGGAAATCCTGAAACTCAAAGGTAAGATTAATAAGATTGATAATAAAAAACTGTCGTGCTAACAAAAGGATTTAGGAGCTGGTTTTATGAAAAAACCAGTAAGATAGATAAACCATTGGTTAATTTGATTAAAAAAAAGAAAGAAGAAAACCAAATAGCCAGTATCAAATATGAAAAGGGTGAAATCACTACCAATGAAGAAGAAATTAAAGCAAACATTAGGAAATATTTTGCCCAATTGTACACCAATAAATCTGACAATCTGAGCAAAGTGGATAAATATTTACAAAAATATAAACAGATTAACAGATCAGGAAATAGAATGCCTAAATAACTCCATCTTAGAAAACAAAATTAAACAAGCCATTAATGAACTCCCTAGGAAAAAATCCCCAAGGCCAGATGGGAATTCTACCAAACATTTAAAGAACAATTAATTCCAATGTTATATAAACTATTTAGAAAAATAGGTAGAGTCCTACCAAACTTCTTTTATGACACAAATACGATGCTAATACCTAAACCAGGAAGAGCTAACATAGACAAAGAAAATTGTAGACCAATTTCCCTAATGAATATCAATGCAAAAAAAAAAAATTTTTTTTTTTTTAGTGAGGCAATCTGGGTTAAGTGACTTGCCCAAGGTCACACAGCTAGTACATGTCAAGTGTTTGGTCTGAGGCCAGATTTGAACTCAGGTCCTCCTGACTTCAGGGCCGGTGCTCTATCCACTGCGCCACCTAGCTGCCCCAAAAATTTTGAACAACCATTAGCAAGGTGATTATAGCAATATATAACAAGGATTATACACTATGACCAGGTGGGATTTATACCAGGAATGCAGGGTTGGTTCAATATTAGGAAAACTATCAATATAATTGGCCATATCAATAACAAAACCAACAGAAGTCATATGATTATCTCAAAAGATACTGAAAAAGCTTTTGGCAAAATACAACACTCATTCCTATTAAAAACACTAGAGAGCATAGGAATAAAGGGAGCATTCCTGAAGAACGCCATTGCCCATGGTGATTTTCTAAGTGGTGTCTATCTGTTCACCTGCCTGTATTGAGGCTCTGGGGTGGGGGTGGGGGTGGTGGTCCTGGTGTTGGCATTTGCCTGCTCTACCAACCTGGGTCTCAGGATATCCCCCTGGTTTGCTAACGGGCTTGCTGTTGGCTTACTGGAATGCCTCCAGTCCTATATTGGACTCCCCCCCTCCCTCAGAGCGAGAGGGGCCTTTCCTGTTAATCTCCTAAACTTCCTAGACTACAAAACTACCGTGCCCTGTCTTTTTGCTGGCCCCTGGTTTTTCTTGGGTTGATATTTTCTGGGCTTTCAGAGGTCAATAAAGGAGGGTGAAAGCAACTTATTTCTTATTCTGCCATCTTGGCTCCTGGAAGCGGAGCTTGGGAGCATTCCTTAAAAGGATAAGTGGTATCTATCTAAAACCCTCATCAAGCATTATCTGTAGTGGGGACAAGCTAGAAGCCTTCCCAATAAAATCAGGGGTGAAGCAAGGATGCCCATTATTACCACTATTATTCAATATAGTACTAGAAATGTTAGCTATAACAAAAAGAGAAGAAAAAGAAATAGAAGGAATTAGAATAGGCAATGAGGAAACAAAACCATCACTCTCTGCAGATGATATGATGTATATTTAGAGAAACTAGAGAATCAACCAAAAAACTACTTGAAATAATTAACAACTTTAGCAAAGATGCAGGATATAAGATAAACTCACATAAATCATAATTTCTTTATATGACCAATAAAGCCTAGCAGCAAGAGATACAAAGAGAAATTCCACTTAAAACAACTGTAAACAATATAAAATACTTAAAAGTCTAACTGCCAAGACAAACCCAGGAACTATATAAACACAATTACAAAACACTTTTCACACAAATAAAGTCAGATCTAAACAATTGGAAAAATATCAATTGCTCATGAGTGGGTTGAGCCAATATAATAAAAATGACAGTTCTGCCTAAACTAATTTACTTATTCTGTGCTATACCAATCGAACTATCAAAAAAATTATTTTATAGAGCTAGAGAAAAATAACAGCAAAATTCATCTGGAAGAACAATAGTCAAGAATATCAAGGGAATTAATGAAAAAAAAAATACAAAGGAGGGTGGCCTAGCAGTATCAGATCTCAAACTGTATTATAAAGTCATAATTATCAAAACTATCTGATACTGGGGTATTCTTGGTAAAGATACTGGAGTGGTTTGCCACTCTAGCTCATTTTACAGATGAGGAAACTGAGGCAAACAAGGTGAAATGATTTGCCCAGGGTCACACAGCTAGTAAGTGTCTGAGGCTGGATTTGAATTTAGGAAGATGAGACTTCAGGTATGGCAGCCATTAATATAATCCACATAAACAAAAACTCTGAGGAGTCCCCAATAATTTAAGAGTGGAAACAGGTATTAAGACCTAAAAAGTTTGAAAATTGCAGCCCTATGCCAACAAAACCAATCTTCAGCCTTAATTTTATGTTAAAGGAAATGATTTTCCCAGCTGACTTGTTAAACAGAAAACTCACCCCATTAATTACAGCCTCCCATTTCCCATTCTTCCACCTGATACATCTTTTCCTTGCATCCTTATAGCCCTCCTTGATCCATGATAACTGTGTTTTGTCAATCAACAAGTAGAAATTGAAGAAGGCCCACAACTATATTGTACTAGGTCCACAATCAGCAACTCTTTACTAGCATACGCAGAGAAGTGGTGAGAGGTTTTTAAAAAATGCTACAGTATGGTCCCTGCTTTCAAGAAGCTTATATTTGTACTTGGAGAGACAAGAAAGAAACATGTGAAAAGTGGGACAAGCATATGAAAGATAAGTAATTGTTCTTGACAACCATGGACATATGACAAGTAGGACCATAATTAGGTCAGGGCATTGGTACCAGTTAGGAAATTGATTTGATACATAGTTATCGAGACTAGGAAGCTATTTCCTTCAGCTGCACCCATGTGAATCCCACCTAGCCTACCCCAGCTCACTTCCCTGGCAACAGTGGCCTTATTTGGGGTTCCCCAGGACTCTCAGTATCTATGGGACTCAGTGTTCTGAGATTTTTCTCTCCATCCCCCATCCAAGAGGCCTTGTGCCTCAATGTCCCACAAAAACAAGAAGAAAACAATAGCATTTGTCCCAAGGACCAGAGTTGGTCATTATATCTTGGCTCATAAGGACATCAATGCCAAATAACTGATTCAGATAACAAATTGTAGGGGAATGGGTTTTCCCTGAAGCTCCTACATTGAAGATTCCAATGGGGCAGAGGGCAACCTAGCTGCTGCCCTCAGAAGGAAATGTGCAAATAGACTAATGGAATGTTCCATTAACAAAGGCCCTCACAGATCATCACTTCCAGCTCCTTCCCTTTTGAAATGAGGAAATGGCAGCCTAGCGCTGTCAAGTGATTTTCCCAAGGCCACGCAGCTACAGAGTTAATAGACCAGGTGAGGGACCAGCATTGGGGTTTTCTAGTACCTAGGTCCAAAGGGGAAAAAAAGGTTAAAACAAAGAAGAAAATTAGTTAAAAATAAAACTTGAAGAACATTAGGGGCACCTAGCATTATAGGCACTTACAGTTATAAGTTCTTGGATTAGTGTGGCTGCAGCTCCAATGTATTCTCCTATTTTCAGAACTGAACTCCATCGTTGAGAGTTAGAAAAGCTAGTATGTATGTATGTATATATGTGTGTGTGTGTGTGTGTGTATTTATATATATATATATATATATATACATGCACATAGATAGATAGATAGATAGATATGATAGATATCTCACTTTAAACCTAAATGGCAACTGAGTTTTGAAATGAATTCCATGACATGAGACTTTGGACACAAAAGGCTAAAGTCAGATTCATTTACCAAGAGTTACATCTTTTACATCATTTCTATCATTCCACATTCTTATGTCTGTTCTCAGTAATAAATAAAAACTTCCTAATGGAATGTAGGAAAGAAATATTTGGCCCTAAAAATGAATATTCTCAGGCCAATGAGAGAAGTCAATTGAATTGATGTATACTTAAATTTAGGGACGGTCACCATCAAAAAAGAACATTTCTTTGTACAGGCAGCTTGTAAAAAATGACAAACGTCCCCTAACTGTGGGGAGACATCAAATGTTCTTATATTTGTTTTCCTTCCCTCTCAGTAAAAAGAAGGAAAAATTTGCAAGGGCCTCTGTGCGTTACTTATGGTCAGTCCTTAAAACTAAGTTAATTTGAATTCAATATCACTCATGGAATTCTATTCAGAAAAAAAGGTATAGATCAATAATGACAGAAAGTGAAAGTATATTTATTCTTTAGTAAACATGAGGTTTATTGGGGGGGGAAGGGATTACAATCTCCATAAGATTAAAAATTACTCTTGCAAGGGGCAGCTAGGTGGTACAGTGAATAGAGTTCCAGCCTTGGAGTCAGGAGGACCTGTGTTCAAATCCGGTCTCAGACACATAACACTTACAAGCTGTTTGACCCTGGGCAAGTCACTTAACCCTGCCTGCCTCACCAAAAAGAGAAAAAAAAAAAATTACTCTTGTACCACTGAATGTATTTCCATACCATCACTGGAAAATAATGTTTTATGCTCTTGGATACTTATTTCAAGTGGGTATTTGACTAATAAATATTGTTTGAAAGTAAGTATATCTAGCTGAAAATAGGAATATAAGATTTTTTTAAAAAGGACATTGATTTACCGACATTAAAGCTGGAATGGAATCAAGTTAGAGATTTAAGTAGCATTGTTGCCCTGGCCCACCCCCACCACCATACTTCTACCCTTTAAAGATGAGGTTGGAAATGCTGCCAAGCAGGCACCTGACAGAGCTTCAGATTTCACGACCCTGTTTATACTTGGGCAAAAAAAAATTGGTGATGATGGCGAAAAGAACACAAAGCATTGTGGCAAAAACTCCAAAGACTTTCACAAGCCATTACCACTTTTCTCCCTTTCAGCCCTATATGATAATAATTCCTGAAGGCAGCAGCTGTAGGATTTCTCTGAAACTCAGAATTACATACAAATATCTGTATAATTTTAAGGTTTAGTTTTATGCTAGTAAGAGGGGGGATGGCGCATCACTGGAAGTATGATGTTTTCAGATGCACTTTCTGTGAAGAACGCTAAGTATTGCTAAAAATAAAACACTACAAGTAATTAGTAAAGAAGAAAATTGAATGTATTTAAAAACTAGACAGATATCTTCATTTTTGTCTTTTCAGAGTGATTTTGCACACTTTTACATTTTCTACATAGTAGGTTTATCGTTGTTATGCATGACAATACCTTGCAATTGCTATTTAGAAGAGGAAATACTACAAATGAAACCTTTTGCTGTTAACATTTCAATGGATAGTTGGTTCTGTCTGTATTTATAATTGGATGTTGACATTTTGAATCATTTAAATGTTTACACAGTATATTTATGTTATTGTTTTGGTCTAAAGGCAGATCCCACTTTGTCCCATGTCCCGCCAAAAACTGGCTTGCTATCTTTCAGAGTTATGCCTCTCTCCTTGCTTACACACTCCTCCACACTCATAGACAGACATTCCAAGTGACCATCAGAGTACTTTACATCATCCAAGGTGACATAGGGAAGCAACTACCTATCAGTCTGAGGACAATTCAATGAGTGCTTCTGGTGTACAGACATATCAGCTCACTTATCCACCTCCAGATCAGAGTCCCAAGGGCACAACTATCATCATGCCAAGCATGGATACACGTGTAGAAGCGGCACTGGTTTGGGGGAGGAAAGCTGAGCCTCCATGATGTTTATTTTAGCTTCCACTTAACAGTTAGCATTTCCCACAAAGACAGGCTTCAAGAGCAAGGAGGAAAATTCAGAATGGCCAATGATGCTTCCCATGCTACCAAAAGTCATCTTATGAATTATTTCTAAAAGGCTTATCAAATGGAGCACTCATTTATGCTTACTAGAACCACATTATGCTAATGGCATGGAAAGAGTCATTCAGAGACTTTCTGCCATGGGGTGAAAGAGATGGGGATGGCTGATGTTTACTGTGCAGTCAGAAGTCATGATTCAATCCACAGACTGACTGACTCCATGGTACTGCTAGGTAGCATCTAACAAATTTTGATTAGGTTTCTGTTTGGAAACTCAACACCTTCTTATAACTTCTCTGATCAACAAAGGAAAAAAAATCCCCATGCATTGTTTTCAAATCAAGAATGTCCCAAAGAATGAAAAAATGATGAAACCCCAGTCAACCATGAGAGAGGGAGGTGGGTGGGTAGGGGAAGTGGGGGCAGGGCCCCAGGGATGCCTAGATCTCCAATGGCACCTCCTTCTAATCATCTTTTTTTTGCCTCCTCTTCCGGATCTGCCGCTGAAGTTGAAGTTTGTTGGTAAAGAACAGTTGTCTCCAGCCAATGTCCTTCGCCAGGGCTTTCATGTCTTGGGTGACAGTGTCACATGTCAAGGCCACAATCTGCTCCCACAGTTTGTCGGAGGTGCAAAGCTATTGGTGGGAAATGGAGAGAACAGATTATGTCCCAGACTGATATAAAGGGACCTAACCCTACTCTCCATCCCTGACCATGCATTCTGATTACCATAGTAACAATATTCACTGAGCTTCTTGCACTAAGAAGGTGCAGAATGAATGAATGCCAGCCACGTGCAAGGGTCTGTGCTGTATATAAATGTATAAGACATGGTTTTACCTTCAGGAAGGAGAACTCCAACAAAAACAATTATTGATATTTATTATATCACTTTAAGAGTTGCAATACACATCTCATTGGAGCCTCACAAAAAAACCTGTGAAGTGAATGTAACAGCATTATTATCCCCATCTTATAGATGAGGAAACAGAGGCTCAGACAGGCTATGTGACCATGGTCATACCCTAAAGAACTCTTAACATAGTAGGGGAAAGGAGATCTACACAGGGATAACTACAAGTTGGGGAGTGATAAATGTGGACAACAAAAGGTTTGTTAGGGTTTAGAGGTTACCAACCCTGCCAGCACACCTTGATTTGCTGTCAATCATACCCACCCCTTCTACTGTTGTCCATAGGCATAGGCTATGGGTAGACACATCTGTATACAGCAAAGTACGCTCAGTGTTCAGTGCCTTCCTCTACTGATTATCTCATACTTATCTTGGGTGCAGCTGGTTTATACAGAATTGTTTGCATATTGACTGCCCCTCAAAGGGGAGCTTCATGAGCATAGACTCTCTTTTACCTTTCTTTGTATCCTCAGCACTTAGCACTGTACCTGGTATATAGTAGGTGCTTAATAAATGCTTACTGACTGACCTGCTGGCAAATAACTTCTCAAAAACATCTCACCAGAAAGAGAACAAAAAAGTCAGTTGAGATTATTTATTGAATTTATTTTAGAGCCTCTATCTGACAAGTAGTGAGGCATAGCAGAAGAAATGCTGAACCTGGAGGAAGGGAGCTGAGAGACCTGAGTTCAAATCCTACTTCTGCCCCTTAGTAGCTATATGATCACAGATAAGTCACCTACATAAATGTTCAGAACCTCATTTTCCTTACCTGTTAAATAGGGCTTGTAACACCTACTTCAATGAGTTGTTGTGAAGGCCAAACAGACTATACAAAAAAGCATATCACGCATGGTAAAGTGGTCGGTTTCATTATCCGTTTTCTGGGACCTTCATCGTTTTTTTAATTACCCAGAGTTCAACTTTCTTTTAGAGATCTTTTCATTTACCTTGTTGCAGTCACTGTGTGTATTATTCTCTTGGTTCTGCTTATCTAGCTTCGTACCAGTTCACACAAATCTCCTGCTTCTTACTGCACAATAAAATCCATTATATCCATAGTTGTGGGTTTTTTCTCCCATTCCCCAATCAATAGCCATCTATTTTTTTTTCAGTTCTTTGCTGCTGCTGCTGCTGCTGCTGCTGCTGCTACTACTACTACTATTACTGCTACTACTATTATTATTACTACTACTGCTACTACTATTACTACTATTATTACTACTACTACTATTATTATTACTGCTACCACTACTACTACTATTACTGCTACTACTATTATTACTACTACTGCTACTATTATTACTATTACTACTATTATTACTATTATAACTATTACTACTACTGCTACTACTACTACTACTACTACTACTACTACTACTACACACACACACTGCTACAAATATCTTGGTCCATATTAGAACTTGGTTTCTGTCTTTGTCTCCTTGGGGCATGTCCCCAGTAGTAGATGACAGGAGGGTATGGACAGTGAAGGCATTTTTCTTGCACGATTCCACCAGCAGTATACTCATATCCTTGTCTTCCTACAGGTCCTCCATCTCCGACTATTCTGACTTTTTGTCCTCTGCCAATTAACTGACTCGATTTTTAAGAAGGTAGGCACATAAGATGAAAGTAAAGGCAAGCAAGTAAGGAGATACACAAAAGAACAGCATGGTCCTATAATGTCTAAAGCCCAGAAAAGGCTAAGGCTGAAGATCAGTGCTACAGATAACAAAAACTGTTGGGTTTGAGGACTTCTTTGGGAGGTGAGAGTAGGGAGGAGAGAGGAGTTGATCTATGTTGGGGATAAGAAGACAGTCAAAGAAGAGATAAAAATGATTGATGCTCAGTGAATAATGATAGTGAATAACTATTTAATGATAGTGAATACTGTTTAACTATTATTTTGCTTATGTTTTCTGTTCCAAGGAAAGTAATCTTGGGACTATGAAGGACAAGACAAAAATGGTTTTATCAGAGAGTAGATTCCCAAGGCAAGTGAAGAAATGGACAGACAGAATCTCACTCCTAAATGAATTCGAGTCACCTGACCTGGACAAACTGCATCATAGAATGTGATTGCTGAGCCACTCTTGACTTTGAAGGATTTTGGACGGGTGACTTAGGACTGGAGGAAGCCAAAAATTGTCCCAATTTCCAAAACAGGGAAGAAAACAGAATATGCAAACTATGAATGAGTCTGTGAGCTTGGCTTTGATTCTGGACACTATCCTAGAACATATTTTTGAAGAAATGGTTTCTAAGCACTGAGAACGAGAAGTGATCATCACTAAAAGGCAACTTGGCTCCGTCAAGGATAGAATATGCCAAGCCAACTTCATTTCCTTTTTTTGATAGGGTAACTGATAGATCGGAAGTCCACTGGAGCTACTGCATATCTGGGCTTCAGCAAAGCACTTAATAAAGTCTCTCATATTATACTTGTGGATAAGATGGAGCCTGATGGATTAGATGACAGCACAATTAGGTGAATTGAGATAAGGCTCGATAACTAAATCTAAACAATAGTCACTAATCAGCCTGGAGGGAGGTCTCTGGAGGAATGCTCCAGGGATTGGTTCTTAGCCCTTGTGCTATTCAATACTTTTTATCTATGCCTTGGAAGAAGCTATAACCAACTCAATTTTTATGCTTATAAAATCTGCAGATGACATAAAGTGGAAACAGCTAACATTGAATCTGACTAGAAGCAAGATCTAAAAAGAACCTAATGGGTTAGGATGACATGCCTAATAAAATAAAAATGAAATTTGATTTTTAAAAATGTAGAGTTCTACACTTGATTCAAAAAACATACTTCAGCCTGAGGAATAGATCTGAGGCACTGCTTTACAATTCCTATGCAAAAAATTATGGAACTCTTGGGCAACTATAAGCTTATTATGAGTCAACAGGGTGACAAAAGAATCATAGTGATATTTATATAATGATTTGCAAATATATATTATTTCATTTGATTCTCATAAGAACTCTTTGAGAGAAGCGCTATATGTATTTTATTATTCCCATTTTACAGATGAGGAAATTGAGGCTAAGAGAGGTTAAAGTGATGCGGCCAGAGTCACACAGCTAGTAAATGTCTGAGGCAGGATTAGAACTCAGGTCATGATGACTCCATGATCAACAATGTAAAAGGCAGAAATAAACAAACAAGGTTAAGGCTACTGAGCCACGTTAAGAACGGCATAGCGTCCAGGACAGGGAGCTCATAGTTCTGATCTCCTGTGCCCTAATCAGGCCACATCTGTAGCACTGTTTTCAGTTCTGGGTACCACATTTAGAAGTCTTACAGATAAACTAAAAGGGTGGTGAAGACAACAGAATATGTGCTATGAAAAACAGTTGAAAGAAACTGGGTATGTTTTGCCTGATAAGGAAGAGTAAGGGCTGCATAAGAGCTATCTTCAGTACTTTAAAGGGGAGAGGGAAATTTGCCCTATTCTGCTCCAAAGGGAAGACCTCAGAGCAATAAATACAGAGAGAGAGAGACTTAGTATAAAGAAAAAAATTCCTAACACTTGGCTCTATCCAAAAGTGGAATATGTCGCCTCTGGCACTAATGTGTTCCCCTCTTGGTGATTGCCAGAGGCTGCATGATGACTTTCGGGGAATGTTGTAGAGGGAATGGGTTGATAGGGTTGGATGAGATGACCCATGAGACTCCTTCTACCTTCAAACAAAGTAGTACAGTATAATGAAAAGAGGAGCAGAGGTCAAAACCTGTCTTTAGCTAACCTCTACGACCTTAGGCAATGAGGCCACTCTCTGGGCCTCATTTTGCTCATCTGCAGGACTGCAGGAGCCTTCCTCCATGGTCCTTTCCAGTGCGAAACGTATGATCCTAATGCCTTCTGGGAGTCTATAATACGCAAAGTATATTGTGCCTGGCACTGGTTTGGATGTGGATGTCTCAGGGACAGCAGCGCCATGCCACGTGGAGGGCTGCTGCCTGCTGCTTTGGGAGAGAAGAAGTGGGATGAACGTCTTTCATAGAATCATAGTACCATAGTTTGGAACTGGAAGGGACCTACCCTAGTCCCAAATCCTTATTTTACAGGTAAGAAAACCGCGGGGAGGTCAAGAAACGTGCCCAAAGTCACACAGCTTTCTCAGATCTTGAGGTATGGGAGTTTTCATCTGAAAATCTGGATGTGGTTATAGTGACGTCATTGGTAAGTTTCATAGTAAATTCCATTCTTGCTTCCACTGGGGAAATTTACTTTCAGCCAGTGTGTATTCATTGGCATTCTGTTCTTTATCTCGGTTTTCCGTGAGCAGTAGCAATATCTACAACCGGACGTCCTAATGAGACGTGCCACTTCAAATCAATCCCTGAAAAGCATTGCCCATTTTGTTTCCCCCATTCTTCTTAGCTCCCCGAGGCTTCACTCATCTCTCAGACTGATGCAAAGGAAGGACAAGGCCAAGTCAAGCCAGGATCTTTCCACAAACTCTCTGCTTTATCCTTTCCATAGAGAAGGATAAAAACCTGGAATTATTTTAGCCTAGAAGACTATCACTTTCAGCCCCTGATACGGTAGAGTAAAGAAAGATCCAGTTTGTGTCAATGGACTAAGAAAGATGCACGTTTCTAAAGTTTCTTTAAACCCTACTAAACTTTGCTTTGCCATAACCCTGTGGAGTAGGTAGTGTAAGAATGCTCGAAGTGGTATAGTTTGTGCTAGTCTTATGTGTCTA